ATGAGCATATTTTAAAATGCACTAGTCAACGACAATAATGAAAAAACGCTAAATTTATCGAAAAATCGAGTGTTTTTTCACATAGAAAAAGTAAAAATTTTTTTTCCCATTTTTTTCATCTTTTTTTGAAAATTTTGTTCTGAAAAAGCGCTTCAAATTTTTTTAGTAGAGACTTTTTTGTAGAGCTCGACGAGCTCTATCCAACCATGTAAAAAAATCAAAAAAAAAAATTTTACTCGATTTTTGAATTACGCCGACCTTAGATCAAATGACGATTCATCAATCTAGAAATCTAATTCTATTTTTAAAATCTTGTATCCAATATCGAAAAATAATCTTCTTTAAAATGATTTATTTTATCTATTTCTATGCTCATCTCTATTATTAATTCTTATTGAGAATAAACTTGAAAGTGATCAACTGCCAAATATTTAAAATTAAAAATTAGTGTAAGATGATTTATTTCATACGAATAAATATTGATCTATGATAATTTTTAAACAATATATATATGATCATCAAAATCTTTCTCATTTTCGTTCGGTTCGTTAGAATTAAACAGTATTTCTAATTTAATATTTAAACAATCATTCAACATAAAATGATTAAATGGATGATTGTCAATTGTCTCATATCTATTTTAATATATTGAATAAATTATTTTTATATATTATTATAGAAATATGTTATCGAATGAAATAAATAATCCTTAATCAATAAATATTCTCTCTTAGAAAAATTTATAAAAAAATTTTTATTCTCAAATATTTATCAATATTTAATGATTAAATTATATTTGTTAACATATCTTATTTATAATATAATAAACAAAGAGAATATTTTTAACAAGTCACAGGAAATTTATTCGAAATTTCAAATCTATTAAACAAATAAAAAAATAAGTGAAAATGAAAGCAAAACAATTATTTTATTATATTAAATCAGGAAAATGTTTAAATGAGAAAAATAAATAAATTTCTTCAAATAATATTCAGACAGATCGAACAAAAAAATCGTCCTTAGTTTTTCTTTTCGTTATTATTCTACTAAATTTCCCAAGTAAATGTTGTTTCTTCTGTTATTTCGAGAGATTGTTATTCTCTGTCGACGTGACAGACAAATGAGATTCTTATTTGTGTTCAAATTGATTGAAAATTCTTTCTATTTATAAATAGAACGATAATAAGAGTCTTGGAGAATAAGTCAATAATAAATAGTAATAAATTCTTTCTGATATATCTATAAACATATGAATTGCACGTCTTTTTGCTCATATCTACACCGGACATTTCATCATTCAATATTCTATTGAAAAACAAATTGATTTAGCATGTGAACAAATGTTAATCAAATTGTGTTGTTTTTTTTTCTTCTTCTAATTATAAATAACATTAAATTAATCTCGATAATTATTGTGAAAATTTAGACAAATAAATAAGATTGAAAATATATATCTACCATCTTTAAAATAATAATCAGAATAAAAACTAGAAAAATCTATAAAGACTATTCAATAAATTGATGTTTAATGTTATAAAAAAGGGAAAAGATTTTTTTTTTCAGATAAAAGTTCGTTTTTTCTTTCAAAATAAATTAAATATTTTCTTGTCATATGAGATTTTTTTATCCCCTTGACATGATCATGTCAATCATACCAATATCTTATATTGATTATATATAAGAAAAAAAAAAAATCTTCACGGATTATTTTCTATAAAAATAATCTGAAAATAATAAAGATAAGCATGTTGACTTAGGGATCGAGTTTTGTTGTTTTCTTGTCTATTTAAATAAATACATATGAATAAAATAAATATTATATTTCGTGATAAATTTTTGTTATCGTGAATAAAAATCAAAATTAATAATTAATAAAAAAAAAAAAGGTTTATCAGTCGTATGAATATATAAAATGGAAGAAAAAAAATTGATTTTCATAATTAAATTAGGCGACAAAATAAGATCCGAGATGATTTCGAGCATAACCACGATTGGTTAACATCGTATGATTACCCTCTAAAATCAAAATTAATATTAGAATAAATAACTTTTTTTAAAGATATTTAATTACGTATAGCTTGTTTTGGTTCTGATATATGTTCCTTTCGACCACTTTCAGCAATACGTAATGGATGATTAAGTTCAGATTGAACTGGAGCTTTATAAACAACTCGATTCTTTAGAATACGTCTAAGAAAGAAAAAAAAATCACATAGACAAATTAAATATATATGTCTTATTAAATAAACCCATGATCATCAGAAACCGTTTCTAATTGAAGACGAGTACGTGCTTGTCCTACGAATGTTTCTCCATGTTGATCATATTGACTTTTAAGAAGGAAATCAAGAGAATCGCAAGGAGCTTTTGGATCACTTGTATAAATTTCATGACGACCAGAGGAAAGAGTTGCTGTTGAATATAAACGATTCCATGGCTCATTACGTTGACCAACATGTGTTTGGTCACGTTGATATGGAATTTTTTTTTG